CCTCCCCCTCATCTCATGCAGCAGCATGGAGGTCCCGCAGTGCCAGGTGATGACTTTCACTCGTCACATGATCCAGGGATCGAATCCCGAATTGATACCCAACTTAGAACTAGCCTCTCTCGCCTATGGACGGAACGGTACGAGACTCTTCTGGGAGGGTAGAAGGACCGACACGTACACTAGGCACTATACATATTCGAACGTCACTACGATCCAAAATAATAGCCCGGTGTGAGGTGCATCATTAAAATGGGAACGATCAGCGCCAAGAGCTCATTTCTTCATTCCTTCAATTCATTCTGAAGAGTTTCAGGGAGCAGTTGTCTGCTTATGAGAACGAACTAGGAAATCAAACTCGACAGAAACGTCAAATTGCAACATACGCCACCCGTTGGACGAACAACAAAGTCTTCTACTACTTTGACACCAGTATAAGTATGTTCAACTACGAATATCACTGCAATTTGTTTTGGTTGATTAAAACAATTCACCTTTTAGCTACTACCAATAAAGCATACGTTAGAAAGCAGCTCAAATACCTCAGTGATCGAACTTGTATAACTTTTGTGGAGGATGCCACTGCGACGAATCGTATAAAAGTGTTCAGTGGAGGAGGATGTTATTCAGCCGTAGGAATGATAGGAGGCGAACAGCCGCTGTCGTTGTCCGATGGGTGCTATGTTGTAAGTTATACAAGCATAGAAAATACTATCTATATTCTACAAGTACTCCTGTAACGTGATCCCTTGAAGGTCGGCACTGTGGCTCATGAGTTCATGCACGCTCTGGGTGCATTACACATGCAAATGCGAAATGACAGAGACACATACATTAAGGTCGACTTGACAAATGTTCCGGTGAGTATGACCATCCATTTTTTCCAATTTTCCCATGATTTCGTGAAAGAAAACAGAAATCAAAGTGAATAGGAGATGTTTACAAACATAATACGATAAAGACGAACTTTAGTTTCCATTACTTTGGTTGCATACTTCAACTATTGCCAAGAAAATTGAAAGAAATGTTGGTGTTGTTCGGCAATTAGATACGGTATTATATTGATATGGAAGCAGACACGGTACCGCACTAGAATGGCAGATATTGCACGGATGTAATGCGCCCTTCACCTATAACCCTTAGGTCTAGGCTAAGCCCAAAGACCGATAAGTATACATTAGACAAAGGGTTGACTTGACTATCACTAGTGCGCAAAAGTCAAGAATTCCATTTGTGCGATGTAAATTTATACCTACCAGATTGAACCAAAACAATTTTTCCTACGTAACTTGACAAAGGTGTTCCAGACCCTGCTCAGCAGCAGTTGGACGGATGCGCCCTGCATTTGACTTCCACTCGGAATCGTAGTGGCGGTTTGAATGCGGATGTGGCCAGCACAAGAATTGTAGGGACCAGCCGAGTTACAATTTAGCATTTTTACCCTCTCAGACGAATCTGGCTTCGACGAACGGACTGCCTGAAGATGAAACGCTCGTTTAGCTCAGGCAGGTATTGATAGAACTCCTGGACAATGTGTTCCTGAGTAGTGCACCATTTTCCTTCATATCAGCTCCGCTCTTGATAGTCTCCCTCCTCCTCTTTAGCGTTTATCTCGCTCAGAGGAGTTCAGCTTCTCTGGTGTACTTGGAAGACCTCCCTGAAGTATTGGTCCTGACACGAGATTGTCGATACCGGAGACTTGAACTAAATCGGTGACAAATGCTCGCAGAAGCTCGGTGCTGTCAATTTCGATAGTGCCTAGCTCATTCGACTTCGTGGTCATGAACTCCGTATTTTTGACATTCAACCGGTGCCTGAACAATGCCGGATGGTCGCACCAAGCTTGTACCTGCTGCTCGACTACATTTTTGCCTTCACACGAGAGCATTGTGCAGTCAACATAAAGAAGTGCCCATGGAGGTTTCTTCTGAAGGTTTCGCTTGATAGCATTCATAACGACAAGAACAGTAGTTTGGAGAGCGTAGAACTTAGGTGTACCACGACAGAGATGGGAATTTTTGAAAAGGCATCTCTTGCTCTTTCTAGTTCACTCGTTGAATTCGAGTAGAGTAGTGGCAACAACTATGTAAATAAGTTCCACAACTAGGGGTAGTACTAGGGGTAGGCTACTATAGGCTTAACCACACGCCCGAAATTGGAATGGCATTACCCTGTTGCCAACTCTCAGGCGCCTTCATTTCTACGACGACCTGATTGAAGGAACTTTCCATCCATGAAGCGAAATTCCCACACCGTGATTTCCACAAATTGGCTGCCAAGATCGAAGTTATGACCGGATGCCTTGTCAAACGTCTTCAGAGCTATTTCTGTCTCCTTCACTGTTACTTCTGCACGGGACGGTGTGCTGGCTGGGCGCAAAGTAGAAGCGGATGGAAAAACTTCACTGTTGGGGCATTCCTTAAAGCAGTACTGTCATCGTTTTACTGTTCTGCGAACGGCATAATATATAGTACATATTATCAATTTACTATTATGATTATATAATAGCAATTATTCAGGCCATTCATTATTCGTTATTATCATTAATTATTAATACTATCAATCCAGGCATTGAGTTTCCATGAAATTCAGCGTTTTTACGTCCTGAGCGAACGATTGATCGAAAAACTTAGTTCTTTGTCGGACGTTTTGTAGGGCGAGTCAGTTACTAGAAAAGTTTTAACAAAAAGATTTCTCGGTAAGGTCTCAGGTCAACAATGCAGCCAAAGCCCACGATCAACTGGTCTTCTATGACTTCTACTCTATCCTGACCTAGCGGTATTGCAGGTCGGCATGCATCACAACTTCAACAAGGAAAACAAAACAATCAACAACACACCATACGAATATGGCAGCAACATGCAATATGTTAGCGACGCGTGCGTATCCCGAATTATAAATTAATTTATTTATGACTGAATTTATATTTTTTTAACTACAAAAACAGTGCAGTGATTTAGTTGTCACCTGTTCAGATTCGCCACAACTGGAGACTCGATGATACCTCGCACTGCAGGCTACACCCGCACGCTGGGATCGCAAGTTATCTCGTTCTACGATATAAGAATGATAAATTGGTTCTACAAGTGTAACGGTAAGCCAGGAGTGATAATCTTTATAAATGTCTGCAGTAAATATAAGATTGCTAGAAAACAAAACACTATAGTCCCAAGCGTACACGAAAGGCTCACTTCACAATAAAAATGGTCCGTGAAATTCTACCTTGAATGAGCCCGTTATCCTCAAAGATGTCACATGGGATGCCGTCGATCAAAAACGGCTTGGACAGGACGTAACAACGGCCTAAAATCGGCTCACCCGACTTATACGCCGAAGGAAGGCAGAGTTCTCACGGCGCTGCAGAGACTCCACATAGAGATGTCATCATTCGCACCGGGACGCTCCTGTTGCATTCAGGCAGCTTACTGTAGCCAGCGTACGTAATGTCACAAACATTCAGATGGCTAGTACGAATTCCCCTTCCATGCAACCTTTGTCGTCACACACTTGTCAGACTATTAGTTTTACTGCTTTTTTAAAGTTTTATATTTCCCCAAAAATGCCGAGTTTCGCGTTTTCTTCGTCTTTTTTGAGGTATGCTGGACTAACATTCCCATCACTAGTATTAAACCAGTCACCACAAAATTATCGCAAACTGTGCCTTCAAAGGAATTAAGCCAGCATAAGGCTGGCTTAATTCCTTTTTATAGTCGTGTGCTTGAGATCTATAATACTTCTTCACACCCATCTAAACTTACAGTGGACTTTCTCATATCTCCTAGCAAACAGAAACATAGGAGAGCTAGCTTTGTAGGATTTTATATAGGGAATAGGAAAGCGAAATCGGCTNTAGGTGATGTGACATAGCTTAATTTTAAATGGAATTTATGATAGTTCAATTGAATTTCTTCGAAACTTAGAATGAAATTTTTTGTAAAATTACAATTCTCAGCTTTTTTCATCGGTGAGATGAATGTTTGTTATCAAAATGTTCATTCTAGCCCCATGTAATGGTCAAGCAACAACGGCTAAATGCGTTAACGGAGGAGTACCCAATCCACGAGCCTGCGCAACATGCCTCTGTCCAAATGGCTACGGTGGGACCCTCTGTGGACAACGAGTGAGTCTAATAGTTTAGAAGTTCTTCTCACTCGCCCTACACTTCAAAACATTGCGATTTGTTGTTGAAATGATATTACCCACAATTTTGGTGGCCCTCTGATTGTGCGAGCTCGAAAGTATTTATGAATGCTGCCCAGAACTTTAGCATTCCATCTTTCACTCCTCGAACATCAAATCAACTACCGACATTTCAGAAAGCAGGATGTGGTACAACTTTGGCAGCCGGTACCGCCTGGAAGACCAGAAATATCACCGTTGGTAACGCCACTACCGCAATCATTCGAGACGCTTACTCGATGTGCACCGATTGGATTACGGTAGTGATTTCTGCCTCACAGGGCATTGAACAACTGAGATTCTGAGTTACCTCTTTTCTAGGCACCAGCCGGCAAAAAGATTCAAATTCGTGTGACGGCGCTAAGGGGTGTTGACTGCATGAGCAGCTGCTATCCAAATGCAATTGAACCCAAGATACTGGCCGATAAGGCTATGACGAGCCCAAGGTATTTTTCTCATTTTTTCTTTGCCACGGATCGAGCTTCTGCGAAGGCCTGTTTATCACTCATAACTGAGCAGTCCACTGCCTTTATTAATGGAATACATGTCCATTAGAATTTACAACCTTCATATGTGTATTATATAAGAAAATACTAGTTGTGAATACGAGTGAGTGCGTGGCCTTCAAATGTAGTGTGTATTAAGGCTTTCGTGAATCAGATTTTTATGAATCAATGAACTCGAAAGATATTCCCACATTTCTGCTGTGAGTGCACGAATTTTCTACCCTAGCCTCCTATTGCAACTCTTCACGGGAAGACTGCAACAGGGACAATGAAGTTATTTGCGAAAGTAAAGAAGAGATTGATGGAACTTGCTGTCATACCCAGGCCTCAGAGGTTAGCTGCTTTCGTAGGATCTGGATGAGAAAAGGGTTCTCAATTGATACTGGCCCCAGGTGAATTTGATTGGTAAAATCGTATTTAGTTTTCTATTTAAAATTAGGCTTGATCTCACATACCGGATGGGGTTTTCTATCGCAAAAATCGATGCGATCAATCTTTATAGTGGGAGTGCACACTATCCGAGCACGTTGTAAATCAAAAACGCTTTGCTACCATTTTTTTTGATAGCCTAATTCATTCATTTTCTAAGCCTTTCGTGACNACCTCAGAAATTAGCTGCTTTCGTGGGATCTGGATGTAAAAAGGGTTCTCAATTGGTAGTGACCCTCGGTGAACTTGATTGGTAAGATCATATTCAGATTCCTATTTGAAATTAGGCTTGATCTCACATACCGGATGGGGTTTTTCTATAGTAAAAATCGATGCGATCAATCTTTATATCGGGAGTGCACACTATCCGAGCACGTTGTAAATCAAAAACGCTTTGCTACCATTTTTTTTGATAGCCTAATTCATTCATTTTCTAAGCCTTTCGTGACCGTATTTTCTTACATTACAGGATTTGCTGTCCTGGACAACTGAACCAAATCCGTGTTAGCGAAATCCGCCCAACACCAGTCGTCGCCTACAGTATCTACTACGCTTCCACATTCACATATCAGTATAGATATGTTTAATTTCAATGGATTTGTTTGTCCTTGTTATTTGACTATTGGAAATAGAATAGACTAGCACAGTGTGCCATATTGCGCGTCATAATGTTTCTAAACTAAGCATATTTCCAAATGTATGACTTGAGAATCGTGGTATGATCGTACATGTACTTCTACTCAGGATTTGGCCTTTTCAAAGCAGATAAAGTCTACTAATAAATAATTCGAAGCATTCCAATCTTTCGACTAGAACTGAATCTCAAAAAAGTGTGCAGCGTAGCACTGCAAAAGCAGTGCAGCGACGTAGTAGCCCAAAAATAATCGCTTCGGTGGAAGACATAACTGGACACCCAGATTCGTGCAAATGACCGGTACAGGACTGGCTGGACCGTTTGAAGGGACCTACCTTTTTCTTGTTCGTAGGATGTTGCTTTGCCTTGGTAATGTATGCTCACTACCAGCACTGTTTAAAGTATAGTTTCACAGCTGACGACTAGGAAAAAAAGCGAAAAGAGCCTTCCTAAGTTTTCGGAAAACGACTGAGCATCTCTCTAATCTCCCTCCGAATAGATAGAAATTGATAGCAGCGGTCTTTTGGCAGGAATACCTGCTGCACCGCCGAACTGGAATTTTTCCTCAAAGCATGGTATATTCCTAAAGAACAACTGAATGTAAAGCACTTATTCCTAGTTTCTGAGCTCCTATTTTCCTGCATAGGGGTTGACTCCTGTTTGAAAATCCTTATGTGATGACTACTAATAAGAGCACGAACTCTCATTGAATTCGACCTCGAGCGCAAGCGAAGGTCATATCACATAAGTCATGAGTTAACTAAAGCCTTGACTTCCTGCATCCATCAGGCTTTTCGGCTTCTCAAAGTTACTCCCTTGAGAAAATTTTCTGGGGAGGAGAAGAAATTTGCGATGACGTCATAATGAGAGTTCGGTATTGGAGAGTTCAACAGCCAGTGACGTTGAGCTCAGAGGGTCATTACCTTTATTAGCGAAACATTATAATGGCCCTTATCTTCCCAAGTGCCTTGCCTGATTAGCGATATTATTTTTTCTGTGTCCTCGGGATGGATTAAATGCTAATTTAGATGAGTTAGGGCGATGATAAGTAACCGTTACCACACCATTCTTTATCATCACCACCTTTCTTCCTTTAAGCCGTCTCCTTCAACTTTGTACACACAAATCTTTCTCCATTTAATTCAGTGATTTCTGTCACAAAAATCAAAATCTACATCTTAACTAACCAGAATTGCCAGCGTTGAAAGGCTATTCATCAGAAGGTTGCGAACTTCAGCATAGGGGATGGCGTCCTATCGACTTGTCGTCTTTGCTTATCAATCACCACCACACCACGAATCCAGGCCTGAATTGACAGTTTTCAGGAAATTGTCAAATATTCGATTAAACGATGAAGTTACTAGTCCCACTCAATTTATTTGCATTGTTCATTACAGCATTTGATGCTTGAACTAGTACGTTTGGATTGAAGCGCTACGGCACGGTGAAACGAGTACTACACAGTGAGAGCGACAACATCGGAAAGGTTGCCTGACGAAGAGGAGTTAAAGGTTAGGTAACGGGCTCCAAAAGAAAACAGCCTTCAAGACTTTGTGGAAAAGCATTACGCCTGTTGTCGTCGGCATGACGTCCTCCGTCAGACTCCCATACCCACACCTATACACATAAAGAAAACCAATTCAACTGCTCGTCTTCCCAAGATATGAAAATCATTTCTGTTATGATGTAGCACAAATTTTGGCTTATTCGTCCAGAGAAACTAAATGTGGCTGAGGAATTATGCGTCCACTTGGCTCANTTATGATTTATTTATGATATGCTGAATGATAAAAATTGAATTGAAGGTCCATTTATGTAAGCTTTTCGATTCTAACGGCTTTTGGGAACGCAGCTTCACTGTGGGATCAGTAGCCGAGGATCACATTCACGTGAAATTTTGTCCACAACGACTAGAGCTTCACCCCAGGATGTCAAACACTGATTTACACTTTAGATAGCATCTCGGCTGCATGGTTGAGACCGAATGCACGATTTAGTAGAGATGCACGCTAAAGACTCAGTTTAGAGTGCTATATTGAACGATTGAAAGACATGAATGAAATCAGTTAGGTTTTCCGAGTTTTCTTTACATGTAATTATTTGGGTGGAAGTTCTGGAATGCCAGAAGGTACACTATCGCACTAATGAACTGAAGATCGAACCGAGTGTAAGTACGGGACCCGGCTAATCCAACCATCCATCCGTTCGGGTCGGAAAATTTGTACCAGACAAGTCCGGCAGGAAGAAAGCACTGACTTGTCAATTCGGTCATCCCGAAACGGTTCAAATTAGTGCCTGTAGACTATATACCTGAAACGTCAACTGAAGGTTGCTTCGATAGTTACTGTAGGAGACATAGGAGTGACATGGTCATCGAAATTATTTTGGGCCTCGTTTCTTTCACTCAACCTGGAGTACCATACCAACAGTTAGTCAAGTATAACACAGTAGCCGGCGAGTGACGCAAGCGGTCCTCTTTGTAAAATCAAAAAATTAATCTGCAGGCGAAAAATGATGTTTGACCCCATTTAGCTGGTTTCGCGTACATTATTAATCGGGTTTAAGCGGTAGTAAGAGTTCACGGCAGGGCTAGAGAGTCCGAATTTATTGAAACATGGTCTCGAGTATATAAAAGTGCACTGCATCCAAGTTCATTCAACAAATTGTACTCTCTAGAGATACAGTACCCTTACATTTTCCCCAAGTACTTTTTTCCATCAACCATAAATATTTAAGTGTTACAGAACCAACAAGGGTTCTACGAAGATGATTGGTGCGTTGCTTCTTCTTAGCGTATTATTCGACAGCAGTTACTGCCTTTCTGAAAAGGGGAGGATCGCTTTGACAAAGGTGAGTTCCAGAAAAGGAAAGAGACTGAGTAAAGTTGAAGTCGTACTATGGACAACCATTTTCCCACAGCTTTTCATGAGGCTCTTGAGAATCTTCAATGAATCTGTCAGATGGTAGTCCCTCTTGATAGGGATCTTCCTTGGCATACACTCCTGGTGTCCCGAACGAAATCGTTCATGACGAATCGATTTGTCATCAAACAACCCCCGTGCTATACTCCTTCCTTTCGCCTTGGCCGGGGGACCAGGATCTCTTTAAGTGTCTTCTTTACCTTCTTGAACGGAGAAATCAGCCCACTTATATACTAAGGAAAGGTCTGAATATGATTCCACAAATTGCCCTTTCAGGCACCCCATCTACTTTCTTTGCTTCATCGTTTTTTTGTTTTTTTGATCAGTTCTTTCACCTTCTTCTATGAAAAATAGCTACTTCTCTTTACTTTCCTTTCATTCTTTTTTCTATTTCTTTTCTGCTTCACTTTATAGTTGGATTTGAACTCAACTTATACACTAAGTAGCACGCCCCTTTGAAGTGCAATTGTGAATAAATAAATAAATAAATAAATAAATAAATAAATAAATAAATAAATAAGTCTCCTGTCTTCTCCCCTTGGGCCGAAATTTTCTCTAATTCCAGGCTTATGGAGGGATCGACATCGATAAGCGTCATGAAAGACTGAAAAACCTCGGACTGAAAGGACTGGGATCAAACCCTCCATCTGAAAAGGCGACAACATCCTCAAAAGTGAGTTCATCATCTCGCGTTTCGGGATTTTCAACCTTATCCTATCTGATTTTCCTATCAAAGGCAAAGGCGGGAGAGAATACCCCAGCGGATGAGGGTACAATCGCAGAAGTGAATCGAAGGGAAGGAGTTGACGAGTACTTGTTCAATGGCGACATGATTCTCACTGAGTACGTGAAATCTTCCTATCTGCTGTTTGTTTATATTGTTTATATTTCCTAATCAATTTTTCGTCAACACTTATGAGTGGCCTTATGAACGATGGTAGCAGCCGGAAAGGTTCTGAAGATCTTAACTGGGATTGCGAGCTTTTTCCAGTTAGTCTTAGCTATTGCTGGGATATACCCCAAACCATTCCATACACCATGAGACTTCTACTTTAGTTGACACCTCTAGAAAATAGACTTTTTTTGAGACAGTTGCTAGCAACTATGAGAACTTCCTCCCTCCCGCCCCCTCCTACCCTCTATATTTTCAGCAATCAACCGGAAAAGTATAGTAAAAGATTGGTTAATTCATCTCGTGCATGGAGGCCCTGCAGTACCAAGTATTATAATTACTGTCACTCGCATGGTCCAGGGATTGAGTCCCGAATTAATACCCAACTTAGAACTAACCTCTCTCGCCTATAGGAGGAACGGTGCGAGACTCTCCTGGGAGGGTAGAAGGACCGGCACGTACGGTGGCTGTCCACTGCAAGTCATTCTGCAGGCACTATACGTATTCCAAGGTCACTACGATCTAAAATGATAGCCCAGTGTGGGGTGCATCATGAGAATGGGAACGATCAGGGCCGAGAGCTCGTTTCTTCATTCTTTTATTTCGCTTTGAAGCGTTTCAGCAAGCAGTTGTCTGCTTATGAGAACGATCTGGGGAATCAAACACGACAGAAACGTCAAATTGCAACATACGCCACCCGTTGGGCAAACAACAAAGTCTTCTACTATTTTGACACCAGTATAAGTATGTCCAACTATGATTATCACTGCCTTTTGTTCAGGTTGAATAAAACAATCCACCTTTTAGCTGCTACCAATCAAGCATACGTTAGAAAGCAGCTCAAATACCTCAGTGATCGGACTTGTATCACTTTTGTGGAGTCTGCCAATGCGACGAATCGTATAAAAGTGTTCGATGGAGCAGGATGTTATTCTTTTGTAGGAATGATAGGAGGCGAGCAGCAACTGTCATTGACTGATGGGTGCTTTCGTGTAAGTTATACATATACATATGAATTACTGAAACTTGTATATGTATATGCAAAAAAGTTCCTTTGAGGTTGGTACCGTGGCTCATGAGTTCATGCACGCTCTCGGTGCGCTGCACATGCAAATGCGACATGACAGAGACACATATATTAAGGTCGACTTGACGAATGTGCCGGTGAGTATAACGATCGGTTTTTTCATTTTTCCAACATTTCGGAAATGAAAACAAACAACGAACTAATTATGAGATCAGTATAATACGATGTAGACAATTTTTAGTTTTCATTACATAGGCTGCACGCTTCAACTACTGCCAAAAATACCGAAAGAATTGCTCCACGAGCAGACACAGTATTATATTTATACGGTAGCAAATAGGGTATCGCAATAGGATGGCAGGTATAACGGATGTTAAAAACTCTCTACTTATAACCGTTAAACCTACGCTAGGCCGAAAGACCGAGAAATATCACCTGTATCACCTGTCGTCCCGTTGATCGTCGATTTCCTCGAGCGGGCGCCAGTAACGTCTCCATTCGTCCCTGTTACGAGCCAGAGTGGTCCAATGAATCGCTCCAGGGACAGGAGGGTCAACATTCCTTTCGTTCAGAGCTTTCGTGAAGAAGTCTGACTATCTCGTTGGCGGCCTTCCTGGAGTTCGTCTGGTGTTCCGAGGGATCCAGTCAGTCACCGCCCTGGTCCAACGGTCATCACTATATCGCATAACGTGTCCGGCCCACCTGATCATCGATTTCTTGGCGTAGTCAACGGCATCCCTGATCTTCGTTCGTTGACGGAGCTCGGAACTCTGGATCCCCTTATGCACTCGCGTGTACAGGGAAATTCCGAGCATCGTCCTTTCCAAAGCGCTTTGAGAAACGCTGACAGCATGCTCATCCTGCTTTCGTAGAGTCCAAGTCTCTGAGGCGTACGTACGCAGGAAGAACAACAGTGTCGAGAAGGTGAGCGCGGAGCCGGATGTTCTTTGTCTTCTTCACTACTTCCTCGATATTATTAAATGCTCCCCACGCGGCGCGTTTCCTTCTGCACAGCTCCGGATCTAGGTCGTTCATCATGTTGACTTCCCGACCTAGATACACATAACTAGAACATTCGGAGATATTCCTTCCGTTTAGCGTGGAGGGAGCATCAGGTACCAATCCGTTTTTCATGAACATCGTCTTCCTTAGGTTCAGTGTAAATCCGATCTTTCCACAAGCATTGTCAAACTCGGCCAGCATTCGTTCCGCCTGCTCGATGTTCGGTGTTATGAGCACGATGTCGTCTACAAAGCGGAGGTGATGTAGATAGTGGCCGTCGACCTTCACTCCTAAGTCTTCCCATTCCAAATGAGGCAATTATTCTCGAGAGCGGCGATGAAAAGTTTGG